AATCTAAATCTATTGCCTTTATCTTCCAATAATCCAGAGTCAGTACACAAGAACTCTTTTTTCCATATATAGGCTAAGTATGCCTTATCTAATATGCTGATGCCAAAGTGTTTCAGGTTCCGGATGTTTTCAGATTTTGAAATATCTGCATATACACAACGAGACAGCTTGGGGCTAGAACCTAAGTCTAAACACAAAATTCATTTATGTTTTATATACACCTTATACACATAGACTGAAGGTAAATTTATACAATATTTTTAATAATTTTGGACATAAAAAAAAGTTTGTATACATTGAACCATTAGAAAGCCAGGTGTCCCTGTCTCAGTCACCCACAGGGACAGTCTGTTGTTGTCTGTCATCACCATTATTCTTGATGCCAAATTTATACGCTATTGATAAGCACTCATTTTCTTACACTTATTCACACATAAGCACTTAGTAAAAAATATGACGTGTATATCTGGCATGCTCAGAAGAGTTATATTGCAGCAGAAGGGGGTTGGGGGGTCCTTTTTTCCCTTGGGGACACTGAATAAATTGTGTATTATGTGCCTGCATTTTGACTGTGACCCCATCATATAAGGTTAAGTATGGAATTTTCCACTTGTCTCTCTGTGCTCAAAAAGTTTAGATTGGCCAGGCACAGTGGCTCGTGCCTGTAATCGCAGCACTTTAGGAGGCCAAGACCTATGGATCATTTGAGGTCAGGAGTTCAAAACCAGCCTGGCCAACCTGGTGAAACCCTGTCGTTACTGAATATACAAAACTTTGTCGGGCGTGGTGGTGCACACCTGTAATCCCAGCTACTCGGGAGGCTGAGGCAAGAGAATCGCTTAAATCTGGGAGGCAGAGGTTGCAGTGAGCAGAGATCACTCCATTGCACTCCAGCCTGGGTGACAGAGCTAGACTCTCTCAAAAAAAAGAAAAAGATTCGATTTTGGAGCATTTTGGATTTTGCATTAGGTATGTTCAAGCTGAAAAGAAAATCTGATTTGCTCAAGACAAACTTAACAAAACAAATAAGATATTCTGATACTGTATATATTCCTGTTTATATTTTCTTAAGTAATGGACTTGGAACTACTTAGCCAATTATGGATTAGAGGATGAGACTTAAATGTTACTGTGCAATGGATAGAACAATTCATTCCTCTATGTTATCATCAAATACTTACGGTATTTTACCCATCCTGTTGCCATGGAGATTAAGAACCAAATTAAAACACATTTGCCCAGGGTCATAATAATGTGGCCAGAATTTAAAGAAAAACTTGATTTTTAATTATGTATCAGTTTGCTTGTTTAGTCTACGGATTTCTATTTGCTTTAGCTTACTCAATAATAAAGCGCAGCACTTCTAAGGCTATTGACTCACGTGGGCCTTTATATTGCATGGACCCAGATGCAATACATCTGGCTGTCTGCTTGGGTTGGCCACTAGACTGAAGGAGAGAGAGAAGTCTGGGATGATTCCCAAATGTCTGGATCTGGTGACAGGGAGATATGGCAGGGCGAACTTGAGAGGAAAAAGCTGGGTTAGGAACTGTTGATCCTGAAATCCCTGAGGGCTGTGCCGACAGAGAGACAGCCAGTAGAAGGTTGCCTTTACCTGTCTGAGGTACTGGGTAACTTCATGGAGAGAGAGTTCTAGGCAGTAGAAATACGAGTACCCAGGACAAAACCCCAGGGAAGAGAAACAGCTGAAGGAGGACAAAGGAAGAAGGGTCAGGAACGAGACTAAGCAGGCGTCATGTGTCTGACACAAGAGCCTGACATAGTACATAGTAGACACTCAGCAAATACCCCAACAGAGATTAATCCAAGGCTGGATGGGGTGGCTCAAGCCTGTAATCCCAGAACCTTGGGAGGCCTACATGAGAGGATCCCTTGAGTCCAGGAGTTCAAGACCAGCCTGGGAAACATGTTGCGACCTTGCCTCTAAAACAAAAATTAATCATTAAAAAAAGAGATGAATTCATAACCTGGCTGCCAGAGCCCACCATGGGTTCAGTGGGCATAAAAGTGCAGCCCACTCCTACCAGCAGCTAATCAGAAATTTGCCTAGAATTCTGAAGCTCCTGTCTGACATTCTGGCTGCTCTGCTCAGATCACCTTCCACCAAGTCCGCTTCCCATGCTCCTAGTTCCCTTCCACCTGGCCTCCCTCATTCTTTTCCTACTTCCCTTTCCCCCACCCCCAGTCCCAGCTTCAGCCCACCCAGTGCCACCTATTACAGCTCGCCTGCACCTTCGTGTCTTTTAGAATGGAGCACCTACAAGATAACACCACCCCCAACTTTCTTTTTTTTTTTTTTTTACCAGTACGGATTACCTCCTGTAGCATAATTGGGCTTCATTATTCTCCTTAAAGGCCCTCTTTCTGTGGTGGATTGGGTTGGATAAGATAAAGACCATTGAGAAGATGAAGAACCCATCCTGTTTTGCCCGTGAGAAGGGGTAGAATTAAAAGGATTAGAGGGGCTGAGGATGGTGGCTGCAGCATGTCATCTCAGTTACTCAGGAAGCTGAGGCGGGAGGATTGCTTGAGCCCAGGAGTTTGAGACTATACAGTGCTACAATTACACCTGTGAATAGCCACTGCACTCTAGCCGGGGCAACATATCGAGACCCTATTTCTCGGGAAATAAAATTTTTTTGAATAAATTTAAAAATTAGGGGAAAGGTAATCACATCTTGCTATAAATAAAAGAAGATGGAGAGGTAAGAGGACCTAGAGCTAGTGGCGTCATTTACATTAAAAGCAATGCTTTAAAATCAGTTGCTCATCCAACTCCACCAGGACAAGAAGAAAGAGGAGAGAGAGTCACCAGTGGATTTGGTCATCAGTGGCTTCTTGATGACTTTAGCAACACAAGTTCTTGTTGGTAGTGAGAGTGAGACCCTGGTGCATGGGGCAGGGTGTTCCTAGAGCATGAGCAAAGTCCCGTGCCAGCCAACGGTCCCCACTGCACTCTGCCCAGGCTTTCTCGTCTCGGAAAATGGCATCCCCCATCCAAAGCTCAAGTCAAGAATCCAGCAGCCACCCTTAATTCTGCTCTTCCTCTCACCTCACAGTCTAGTCCTGTCTCCAAAATAAGTCCCAAATCTCACCACTTCTCACTCTCCAAAGAGCCACCATTACCTCTTTCCTAGTCATTAAACAGCTTCCAAACTGGCTTCCCTTCTAACTTGCTTTCCCATAGTCTGTCCTCAAGACAGCAGCAGTGGTCTTTTAAAACCAGCACTTCATCATCGCCCTTTGGGAAATCCTCCACAATGATCCAGTCTTGTTTCAAAAGAAACATTTCTGACTTCTTACCCTGCCCTACTTACAGGATGGGCACATTTCTGCTCTCACATCACACTTCTTCTCTCATGCACTCTCCCATTCTCGGCCACGTTTGTTCCCTCTTCTTTTGCACTTCCTCTTCTTCAGATCTCAGAAGAGGCGTGCTCCTTGTCTCTCAGGCCAGCTGGCTTCACGCATGTGCCACATGCACCTCTTGCTCAAAAGAGATCTGTATCTGTTGTTGTCATCTTGAAATTCTTTTTTTAAATACATATATAAAGATGGGGTTTCCCCATGATGGCCAGGTTGGTCTTGAACGCCTGACCTCAGATGATCCACCCACCTCGGCCTCCCAAAGTCCTAGGATTACAGGCGTGAGCCACTGCACCTAGCCAAAATTCTTAATACTCCTTGAACATGAAGTCTGCGTTTTTTTGTTTGTTTGTTTGTTTTTTATTTTTTTATTTTTTGAGACGGAGTTTCGCTCTTGTTACCCAGGCTGGAGTGCAATGGCGCGATCTCGGCTCACCGCAACCTCCGCCTCCTGGGTTCAGGCAATTCTCCTGCCTCAGCCTCCTGAGTAGCTGGGATTACAGGCACGAGCCACCACGCCCAGCTAATTTTTTGTATTTTTAGTAGAGATGGGGTTTCACCATGTTGACCAGGATGGTCTCGATCTCTTGACCTCGTGATCCACCCGCCTCGGCCTCCCAAAGTGCTGGGATTACAGGCTTGAGCCACTGCGCCCGGCCGAAGTCTGCGTTTTTATTTTGCACTGGGCCCTGAAAATTGTGTAGCTAGTTCTGCTTTCAGGGATTGTATTAGAAGTCTCCTCCTCAGGCCGAGCACAGTGGCTCAGGCCTGTAATCCCAGCACTTTGGGAGGCCTAGGCGGGTGGATCACAAGGTCAGGAGTTTGAGACCAGCCTGGCTAACATAGTGAAACCCCGTCTCTACTAAAAATACAAAAAAAATTAGTTGGGTGTCGTGGCAGGTGCCTGTAATTCCAGCTGCTTGGGAGCTGAGGCAGGAGAATCGCTTGAACCTGGGAGGTGGAGGTTGCAGTGAGCCAAGGTAGAGCCACTGCACTCCAGCCCAGTCGACAGTTCCAGACTCCGTTTCCCAGAAAAAAAAAAAAAAAAAAAAAAAATCTCCTCCTTAAAAAGGCTTTCCTTGGCCACCTATCCTCAAGTTACTCACTATCCTATTATTCCCATTTAATTTTCTTTATAACAGTTGTCATGCTGTCATATGTTCTGGCTTCTGTATTTATTTGTGTATTGTCCAGTTTCTCCTTTTGGAATGCAGCGTGAGTACCTACAATGCAGAGGCCGCTGTATCCCCAGTGTGGAACGTAATGAGTGCCCGATACATTTGCTGAATAAACTATTCTAAGGGCTGAACTTGCTGGAAGCAAGAGAAGCATTCTGCTAGGTATGTAATAGAAATTTTAGACTGTACTTGGTATTTATATACACTCTCATCAATAATTAAAATTGTGCAGTGCTGGTCTAAACAGATAAATTCTGGCTTCATGATGATGGTTAAGTGGAATATAATTTTCTCATTTTATATTCAAACTTGATCTTTTTCATGAAAGATTTTGAAGTCTGAATTCAGTACCTACTTTTGCTACTCTGTTATATGAAACTAAAACAATAATTTTAGTTTAGTCTGAATTATTTATTTATTTTTATTGTTTAGACAGTGTCTCGCTCTGCTGCCTAGGTTGGAGTGCAGTGATGCAATTTCAGCTCACTGCAACCTCTGCCTCCTGGGTTCAAGCGATCCTCCTGCCTCAGCCTCCCAAGTAGCAGGGAATACAGGCACCTGCCACCAAATCCAGCTAATTTTTGTATTATTAGTAGAGATGGGATTTCATCATGTTGAACCAGGCTGGTGTCAAACTCCTGACCCAAGTGACCCACCTGCCACGGCCTCCCAAAATGCTGAGATTACAGGCCTGAGCCACTGTGCCTGGTCTAGTGAATTTTTTAAAAAGTGTATTGGTCTACCTTCCAATGACATTGCACTCTATGTGGCTCAATAAAACATTTTCATTTGTGATAACTAATTTGACCTGCTCAGCAACCTCTAAGAGAGATAAAGTAGCTGTAATTCTTCATTTTACAGGTCACATCAAATAATTTCATACATTCCAGTTATGTAGAAGCTTGGTAAGAATATGTGAATAATAATCACAGAACTTCAGAGCTGGGAGTAACAGTTGGAAATATTTCTTCCAATAATCTCATTTGTAATGAGAGGACAATGAGGTCCCAGCGGACAGGACCATGAGACAGCCTTGAGGCAAGGAAGTTGATGGAACTTGACCTCTGAAGTCACTGATCTTTGTCATGAGTGGTATACAGTGATCTTCATCACTGACTTAAGGACACCGTTGCCTTTTCAGCAAGTGAGGTATCCAACCTTTGCCTGCAAAGGGGGAAATTTTTAAATAAGTATTTACATTTCACTTCTAAAATTTTGCTTGATTGTGATTAAGTTTATTAAATGAATGGCTGAATAAATGAACATAAGGAAATAAGAAAGGGAAAAAGAAGGATGAGAGGGAGGCAGGGATAAAGGAAGACAGGGAAGAAGGGAAGGGAAGGGAAGAGAAGGGGAGGGAAGGGAAGGGAAAGGAGGGAAGGGGAGGGGAGGGAAAGGAAGGGAAGGGAAGGGAAGGGTGGGAAGAGAAGGGAAGGGAAAGGAGGGGAGGGAAGGGAAGGGAGGGAAGGGAGGGGAAGAGAAGGGAAGGGAAAGGAGGGGAGGGGAGGGAAGGGGAGGGGAGGGAAAGGAAGGGAAGGGAAGGGAAGGGAGGGGAAGAGAAGGGAGGGAAGGGAAGGGAAGAGAAGGGAAGGGAAAGGAGGGGAGGGGAGGGGAGGGAAGAGAAGGGACGAGAAGGGAAGGGGAGGGAAGGGAGGGAAGGGGAGGGGAGGGAAAGGAAGGAAAGGGAAGGGAAGGGAAGGGAAGGGAGAAGAGAAGGGAAGGGAAAGGAGGGGAGGGGAGGGGTGGGGAGGGAAGGGGAGGAGAGGGGAGGGAAGGTCTGATGATATTAGCTGCTATTATACTCTACGTGGATAATTTATTTAGATCTATAGGCTTTATCTTGTTTTACTTCTCTTATGCATATTCTCCTCAACTTTTTTTTCAGTGGGTCAGAGGAGGAGGCCTGCCTCTTGCGACTGTGGAAAGGCTGCTACCAGGTTGACACCCCTGGCCTCTCACCCTCCCATTTCTCACCCTGCAAAGCAGGGTGTTATTTGATTCATGTTCTTAGTCTATGGATCTCAGTTGAAGAGAACTCATTAGGGATTTGCCCTCATTTCCATCTCTTTTGGACCTTACTGGTGCAAGACGGCAAATCCTAGCTGGTGTCTACAGGACACATGCACTCCTGTATTACATGGCTGCAGGGCCACTGTCATTGTATCCTGGAGTTGGTTCTACATAAGACACAACATGAAGATATACAGCCTTCCTAGTCTGCACCTGTCCAAATGTCCCAGTTAGAAACCCAGAGATTGTCTGCCTATGCCAGTGGCAGGATGGGCAAGTCTAACTCAAGGGTGATATATTAGCAAGAACATTATGGCCAGGCATCTAAGAGGCTCTGTCCATGCCAGAACTTATCAACAATAAACCTGACATTTTCTTTTCTTTCTTTTTTTTTTTAAATTGCATTTTAGGTTTTGGGGTACATGTGAAGAACATGCAAGATTGTTGCATAGATACACTCGTGGCAGTGTGATTTGCTGCCTTCTTCCCCATCACCTATATCTGGCATTTCTCCCCATGCTATCTCTCCCCAACTCCCCACCCCCCGCTGTCCCTCCCCTATTTCCCCCCAACAGACCCCAGCGTGTAGTGCTCCCCTCCCTGTGTCCATATGTTCTCATTGTTCAACACCCGCCTATGAGTGAGAACATGCGGTTTTTGATTTTCTGCTCTGTGTTAGTTTGCTGAGAACCTGACATTTTCAAATCCACCTGATTCTTCTATTTTTCAGTTGATGCCACATGCATTCTCTTGCCATCTTTCTTAATTAAGATGGCTTTGCTTCTAGATCTCCTTAATTACCAAGCAGGTATCTATAATATTTTATAATCCACTTAAATCTTGAGCATAATGATGTCAGAATTATGAAAGTGACCGGATTCACATGAAGTATTGCTTAATCTTAAGAACAAAATGGCAGCTGTGAAAACAGACAAAGTAATTAGAGGAAGAGCCTTTTTGGAAGCTTCAAGATATTTTCAAAGTAATTAGTACTAGTTAGCAATAAAGTTCTGTTCTCAGAAATTACACTTAAAGAAGGAACATGGATTAAAGAAAAAAGTTGACTACTAGGAAGTAAGCCACTAGACTTTTAAAAACTAGTTCTATTTTCAACAAAGTTTGGGTCTCTTGAAAAAGAACACGCAGATGCCATCCACGACTTCAAAGGGGCCCAAACTTGGACAGTAGTAAACTAATGAGCAAGGTGCACAGAATCAGGGTACAGTTGAGCAGTTTCCTATGACCAACTTTTCCAGAACGATAGGACACTTCTGGTTTTTCGTTGTTAAGAGATGGAATTTCACTCTTGTTGTCCAGGCTGGAGTGGAATGCTGCAACTTCGGCTCACCGTAACCTCTGCCTCCTGGGTTCAAGCAATTCTCCTGCCTCAGCCTCCCAAGTAGCTGAGATTACAGGTACGAACCACCATGCCCAGCTAATTTTTTGTATTTTTAGTAGAGACAGGGTTTCATCACGTTGGTCAGGCTGCTCTCGAACTCCTGAGCTCATGATCCACCCACCTTGGCCTCCCAAAATGCTAGGATTACAAGCATCAGTCACTGCACCCAGCAACACATCTGTTTATAAGTGTGGATTATAGTTACTCATAAGCGACATTAGGCTGTTTAAAATAATAGTTTGAGTTTTGCTATGAGCTGATCTGTTTTCCAACAGAGCTAAGAGGTTTCCAACTAAAACAGAATTAGCGGGTAATCAAGGCAGCTGACATGGGGTGTGGCTGGGCCTTGAATGTGTGTCACTCTCTGTGCCCAAGCAGAGCAAAGATAAACTCCAAACTGCATGTTGCTCAGAGACTAGGAAAAACTTCAAAGGGCCCTTAAAAGGCAGGTAGACCAGTTCAGAATTATCAAGGTCTGACCTGCTTAGACAAGTACTGAGCACATAAGGATTGACTGGCTAGTCTCTCAAAACTTGCAAACAGGGCCCAGAGTGATCTTGAGATTTCAGTAGCCGGAGAGACCCATCATGTAGATTCTAGAGCTGGCTGTTGTGACTAACAGCTGTCTAAGTTGTTTTTAAATGAATCCTTAAGTGCTACATACTTCACTTCAGCTAATCAAGTAGCAAATTGCAGTGGGCCTAAAATACTCATCTACTGAATTATGTATATGCTAGGCTTTCTCACTTTGTCTGGTTATATCACTTCATATATTAATAGTCAAAAAATGCCAAACAAACAAAACAAAAATGCTAAATGACTGTAAATACACGTTTCAAACTGTTTTATCTAAGAATTTACTCACTTTCACATTGCGGCTTATAGTATTTCCAATCTAAGAGATTTATTTTGCCTGCATAGGAATCTACGTATTTTAAATTGAAAATTGTAAAAATATTTTTAAGGTTTTAATGAGTCCTATCAAAACACGTTTGTATAAAGGAAGGTAGCCCAAGGTCACTGTTCCCAATTGTGTGCACAGCCTGCCCTCTAGTGTTTTCTTCTAAACTGTACCAAATTTTAAATCATAGTCATAATCTCAACATTTGTTGGGTTAATAGGATTAAACACTGAGTCATCAAATTGACAGGACAAAGCTAAATCCCTGACACGGATGAAAATTAAAGCAGAGAAAAACAAAGGTCCTTCCAGGAACTGGTGGCAACTTCACTGGGGAGATATTGCAAAGTTAGTGGTAACTAGACTGTATTAAAAAGTTTTGTTGTGTAAACTGGATATTGGTAGAAGGAGAAGAGTTAGTTGAAATGATGTGTGTAAAATGTGATAACTATATAATTACTAGTACAGTTGCTAGTTTATGATTTTATTAAAAAGGCATTCCAAATGTTGATCAAATAATGGAGTTTTCTGTGGTTGTTTTATCTTTAAATAGTAGATATATGTAAAGCAGTTAACTATCCCCTTTGTGGGAGTTAAAATAATCAAGCTTATTTTATAGCTTTAACTTTATTAAAGCATATGGCTATTCTAATTTATTTAACTTCTCTTAGTAAGGTTTTAACCTTTGTATTTGGAATATTTATTACTAATGTATATCAAATTAAACTCAAAGGGAAATTTCTTAAATGAGAAGAAAAAAATTTAACTGTGCACTATTCGTATAGCATAATGGGTTTTATAAGGAGTATGAGAAAAATATGTGTGGTTGGTTTTGCTTTCTTAAAAAAAAAAAGTAGCAAACCACCTAGGTAAAAACTCACTTGAGAAGATAGAATTTTGGAGGGAAAAAAAAATACCTCTAACAGATAGTAATCAGTTCTGTATTTAGAGATGTTTGCTGTTGACAAGGAAATAAAATGAAGCTTGGACTCTGAGAGGACGTGATCTATCCTGCCCATTGTGTTGAGTTTCAAGTACTTCAGATGGCGACCTTATTTAACTGTCATGAAGAATTTAAACCAAACAAGAACTTGATTTTTTTTTGTTTTTTTTTTAACTTACATTTCAAGCTTCCTTATGTCTCAGGCACATTAGCGTAAGTTGTCTAAAGTTATAAAGAGAAATTGAAGCAAAAATGCTTTGGAACCCCATGTGTTTTCGATTGATGCCAACAGAAACTAACCTAAGGGAAGGCATTTGATGCGGGTTTATTTTTCCTTTGCAGTAACAGCGGGATCATGAAGCCGCCACTCTTGGTGTTTACCGTGTATCTGCTATGGTTGAAAGATTGTCACTGTGCACCTACTTGGAAGGACAAAGCTGCGATCAGTGAAAACCTGAAGAGTATGTTTGGTTTCTTATCCATGCTGTGTCCTGTTTGCATGTTGGATGCCCTGTTTGCATGTTGGCTGTCCTGCTGGCATTTATAGTGAGACGCAGTTGAGAGATAACCCTATTCACTGTCTGCACGGTGAAACGTTCTCCAGGCACTTAAACCAAGTCATCATGACTCCAAACATCTGGACAAAAATAGAAAATTCCAATCATGTCTCTGCAGATGTTCACATTTCCAGTTGTTTGTATCATGTAGATAAAACTTGCCAATTTTTTCACTGCATTTTTTTTTGTATCATCCAGATGGTTGGTGTCATCTCAGCACAGCTCTAATGAACAGTAAAATACTTTTCTAGCATTTGAACAATTTAAACCATTAGAGTAATCTGTGAAATTATTCTTAAACTAGTGAAAGAATGGGTTATAATTACATTGAATCTGGTTGTTCTATGGCCATTAACTTGCAACCTTTGCTTGGTGATAAATGCTTTGGGTAGTTAATATTTAGAAGAATCAATGAGCTAAAATGTAGCTGATTTGGGGTCTGTAATTAAATTCAGAGTCAAGAATAAGCTCCTTAGGAGGCCACATCAGCTATTTTGAACAGGGAATGACAGTTGATTTTAAAACTACTAAGGTCTTATTAAAGGTATAAGACACATCCATTAGGTTATAAAGGAAGCTTGTATTACATGGGATATTTTCTAGGTTTCATGCCTCTTTGGAATGTAACTAAAGCTGAAAGAGAAATTGTTGATTGTGTCTGAGGTCCCCAGCTGGGCACTTAATATAAATTGTTTGTAAAAAAAAATGCAAAATTTTCTCTAATATAAACACACTTGAGTCTTAAATGAAAGAAAAAAAAAATGGATAAATGAAAACAGGGCCTGAGCAAAATGACAAGAAGGAGGTTCAGTGACTTCTGATTTGTTTAGGAGCTCACAAGTGAGGAACAGAAGGTACAGTCCATGTGGCAGCTGAGTCCATGTGGCATCTGACAGCTAATTCATTATCATCTGCTTTCAGTGTATGAGCCTATAAAAGAACAATTAAGCCTCTCTTTAGGGGACATGAAAGATTGGTGAACTTGGTGTTCTGTAACCTGATCAGATCTCAAAGAAAAAATTGCCACGTGTCTTTTAGGTTTTTCTGAAGTGGGGGAGATAGAGGCAGATGAAGAGGTGAAGAAGGCTTTGATTGGTATTAAGCAGATGAAAATCATGATGGAAAGAAAAGAGAGGGAACACACCAATCTAATGAGCACACTGAAGAAATGCAGAGAGGAAAAGCAGGTACAGTCATTGAAAATAATGTCTGTTCTTATACAGATCTGGACCAGAAATATTGCATTTGTTAATGTCATTGATGAATTACTTATTTTCCCTAATAATAAATTTTATGGGTAGTTGCTTTAATTGGAGGAAAAGTTTGAAGGAAAATTCAGATTTCCTTGAAGAGCGTATTTCCTGTAGGATAGGCTTCCGCAGGACTCCAAACCCCAGAATCTGGGGGATTCATCGCTGCATAGTGCTGCTTTCTCAAAAATGAATAATTCTTGGTCTCTTCTCAGTTAGGATATTGAGTCAAAAGTATTTGGAGAGTTTTTTTAACTAGATCAGTGGTCTCCAGAGTTGTTGTTTTTTCTTTTTTAAGACAGTCTCCCTCTGTCACCCAGGCTGGAGTTGATCCCAGCTCACCGCAACCTCTGCCTCCTGGGTTCAGGCAATTCTCCTGTCTCAGCCTTCCCAGTAGCAGAAATTACAGGTTCCCACCACCATGCCTGGCTAATTTTTTTTTTTTTTTTAAGTAGGGGTTTCACCATGTTGGCCCAGGCTGGTCCTGAACTCCTGGGCTCAAGTGATCCTCCCACCTCAGCCTCCCAAAATGCTGGAATTACAAGCATGAGCCACCATGCCCGACCCAAAGTTTTTTGGTCTCTCATTTCTACAACTAAAAAGTTTGTTAGCACTCACTCCTAAATATATGCATATTAATTTACATATAAGTTAGATACATAAATTGCTACCATTAATATCTCAAGGCACAATATGTATTTAAGGTGAGATTCATCATTAGTGAGTGTGGATGCCAAGTCCACATTTCAAATAATCTTCTAGATACTTTGAAACTTTTAGCCAACTTGCCAGATCTGATTAGATCACCACAGTTTTCCTTTGTCACATGGCCAATAAAGAGCTCATGATGATGAACTGTCAGCTCTACCATTTGCTTTTTGTCCACTGAGCTTAAATTATTCATTTGTTTTTAATCTGCCAAGTTTTTTTCCAAGAATCTTGTTAAGCCTCCTGTCCATTTAGTGAAGGTTAGTTTAGTTAAAACTAGATAATAAAATCATTAGTCTACCTGAGTTCTTGTACATGGCAATTCACTACAATTGGCTGCATGTGAACAGAGCAAGGGAGCTACGGTCGATGCTTCTGGAATGTAGAGGATCAATCCCTTCTTTCCCAAGGTTCTCACACAGTTGGGCACATACGATGTCTGACATATGCATCTCAAGAGAGCACCATGTAGCTGGGCGTGGTGGCTCACGCCTGTAATCCCAGCACTTTGGGAGGCCAAGGCAAGTGGATCATCTGAGGTCTCGAGTGCTAGACCAGCCTGACCAACATGGAGAAACCCCGTCTCTACTAAAAATACAAAAAAACTAGCCAGGAATGGTGGTGCCTGTCTCCAGCTACTCGGGAGGCTGAGGCACGAGAATTGCTTGAACCCAGAAGGCGGAGGTTTCAGTGAGCCTAGATCACACCATTGCACTCCAGCCTGGGCAACAAGATCGAAACTCCGTCTCAAAAAAAAAAAAAAAAAAAAAAAAAAGAGAGAGAGAGAGTACCATGTATATCCAATAATACATTAACCTAATTCACTTTTTAAAATTCAAATAGCTGCTGGGCACAGTGGCTCATGCCTATAATCCCAGCACTTTGGGAGACTGAGGCAGGTGGATCACAAGGTCAGGAGTTCAAGACCAGTCTGGCCAAGATGGTGAAACACCGATTTTACTAAAATTGCAAAAAATTTTAGCTGGGGGGAGTGAAGGGGATGGCAGGTGCCTGTAATCCCAGCTACTTGAGAGGCTAAGGCAGGAGAATCACTTGAACACTGTGAAGGGACAGAGGTTGCAGTGAGCCAAGATTGGGCCACTACACTGCAGCCTTAGGCGACAGAGTGAGATTTTGTCTCAAAAAAAAAAAAAAAAAAAGAAAAGAAAAGAAAAAAGAAAAAGAAAAAGAAAAATTCAAATAGCTTTACTTAATAGCTATAGCTCGAACTATGTATCACTGGAGAATACATATTATATTCAAATGTCCTTGGAAGATGTAAAAAATTGTTCATATGCTACAGTATAAAGTTCAGTACATTTCTAAACTATAGACATTGAATAGCTTGCAGTTTAATGACATTAATAATTAACATCACACTCAAAAACAATGTTTTTTTTTAAAAAGGTTATCTTCAAACATTACCCTTAAATCAAACAGGAAATTAAAATTTAGCAAAAATAATTTGGAAAGTCTTTTCAATTTTCATGTTGAGAGTAAATTACTTTTTAAATTTTTTATTTTTTGAAAAATGTTATATTTTAAAATATGTATAACAAAATTTACCATCATACCCATTTGTAAGTGTACCATTCAATATTGTTGAATACATTCACATTGTCATGCAACCAATCTCCAGAATTCTTTTCATCTTGCAAAAACTGAAAGTCTATACATATTAAACAATACCCCATTCACCCCACTCCAGCCAGACTTTTAATTAAAAAGTATAAGTGGAAGTTCTAATATTTTCTATCTATCCCTCTATCTATAAAGCTGAGGACCATTGAATTCCAGATTGATGCTGGCATCTTTTTACTTCTGAGCATCACAGCCTCTGGGAGTCCATTAAGCAACTGAAGCCTGGTAGTGTTACAGGCTGACCCCAAAGCTGTGTGTCAGCCTGTCATCGGACTGATTGATCTTGCAGCCCCACCTACTGCCCTGAGTCAGTCAGGATTCCAGCAAGGAAAGGAGAATGCCTGACCAGCAGCTGCAAAACCCTTCTCCCTTTTGGCAGCAATCAAAAGATTTTGAGGAAATCCAAAATAGCTCCTCATCAGAAAAATATGGAAGCCCCTCCAGCTGGGATCTTCCCTGGTGGGCTTGTGAGCTTGGCCATCTGGGAATAGAGACACTAGATAGCGCTAATACACTCTTCACAAAACACATTATCACATGAAATACTTTGAACATCTGGGTAAACCACTACTTTCATTTACATCTAAGAAAACCGGGATTTGAGATGTTTGTTAATTAACATGTTACTCCAACACCGTAATGAGTGCACTGAGATAAAGTCAGCAGATGCGTGCACGTGGGACCCAGTGACTTTCTGCTTTTCTCACTTCCCTGAACCTCCCGGCAAGGAAGATAGGGTATACAGCTACAATAAGAATATTCGAGTTTGGGTGAGTCAAGGAAGCAAATGTTTATTTCACTTCTGGCCCTGAAGAATCCAAGCAACTAGGATCATTTTTGTTTATTCTTAAAAACTTGATCGTACAAAAATTCATTGAATTATACGCTTAAGTTTGAGGCACTCAATTAGAAAATTGGAAAAAAAAAATCTCCTTAACCCTGAGTATCCCTCCGTAAAGTTACTTTAAGCCTAGAATAAAGGTCGGTTTAGACAATTTATGAATTAGCAAATATGGTGTAAGCAACCCTAGTCTCCCAGTATTGAGCCCTACCTATTCTAGAGGGTACTGCTTGGTGGTGACCCAGGATCATCACTGACCACTTCCGCCACCTCTCCTTATTAATATTTAGTGAGACCATGTGAAACTTATTAAGTAGGAAATCCTAGAGAAGGTTAGAGCGATTTGACCCCCAAACCAGGTTTTATTTGTTTTTGTTTTTAATGAAATGGAGTCTTGCTGGCCAGGTGCAGTGGTTCCCGCCTGTATACCCAGCACTTTGGGTGGCTGAGGCAAGTGGATCACCTGAGGTCAGGAATTCGAGACCAGCCTGGCCAACATGGTGGAACCCTATCTCTAATAAAAATACAAAAATTAGCTGGGCATGGTGGCAGGTGCCTGTAATCCCAGCTACTCAGGAGGCTGAGGCAGGAGAATTGCTTGAGCCTGGGAGGTGGAGGTTGCAGTGATCCGAGATCATGCCACTGCACTCCAGCCTGTGCAACGGAGAGAGACTCCGTATCAAAAAATAAAGAAAAAGAAATGAGGTCTTCCTATGTTGCTAGGCTGGTCTTGAACTCCTGAGCTCGAGGGATCCTCCTGTCTCACCTTCCCGAGTAGCTGGGATCCTAGGCATGGGCCACCACTTCTCGCTCAACACCAGGTTTCTATAGTACTGTTGATAAACTATCAACTATAGGAATAGAGTTACACGCATGAATCTGCCAGTTGGTACAATGTCTAGCAGGAAATGGAAGGCATCAGTAGGACATTCCTACAGAAATATTTACCAGACAGAGGTCTACTTCTTTCGTGGCAATGTTTCACTTCCAAAACCTGGGACCCCTGATTTGGTAACTGTTTTTTGTTGTGCTTCTGGGCAGTCAGTGGAAGGAAGCCTGAGAGATACTAGTTATTAGAATGGACTAGTTATAATAATAGATTCCTTGCCTATGATAATAGATGCCTTGCCTATGATAATGGATACTAATTATAATAATAGATGCCTTACTTGTTTAGCTAATTTAATGCAAAGACCTTGAGAAATAGATACTATTATTCTTATCGGCAAATGAGGAGACTAAGGCTTACACATATTAATAAGTAATTTGCCCAAGGGTACACAGTCACTGTAGTTTAGAATTGGGAATATTAGGATTTTGACTTATGGGGACAATGAACAGAATATGTAAAATTGGGACTGACTGAGAAAATTCCGTAGGTATTGTTACATGCCTTGAAGAAATAACCCCCCCACCCTTTTTTTTTTTTTTTTTTTTTTTGACAGAGTTTCACTCTTATTGCCCAGGCTGGAGTGCCTGCCATGGTGTGACCTTGGCTCACTGCAACCTCCGCCTCCTGGGTTCAAGTGATTCTCCTGCTTTAGTCTCCCAGGTAGCTGGGTTTATAGGCACCCACCACCATGATCAGCTAATTTTTGTATTTTTAGTACAGACAGGGTTTCACTATGTTGGCCAGGCTGGTCTCAAACTCCTGACATCAGGTGATCCAGCCACCTTAGCCTCCCAAAGTGCTGGGATTACAGGTGTAAGCCACCGTGCCCAGCTGAGAAACAACCATTTTAAGATGTAAGATTCAGCCAGTGCAGTGGCTCATTCCCATAATCCAAGCACTTTGGGAGGTCGAGGTGGGCAGATCACTTGAGGCCAGGAGTTCAAGACCAGCCTGGAAAACATGGTGAAACCCTGTCTCTACTAAAAATGCAAAAATTAGCCAGGTGTGGTGGTGTGCACCTGTAATTCCAGCTACTTGGGAGGCTGAGGCAGGAGAATCGCTTGAACCTGTGAGATGGAGGTTGCAGTGAGCTGAGATTGCACCACCGCACTCCAGCCTGGGTGACACAGCCAGTCTCTGCCTCAAAAAAGAAAGAAAAAAAAAAGATGTAAGATTCCAAAATTGTTCTGCAAAGTCCAAGGAGACACACACACACACACACACACACACACACACACACACACTCCTGTCTGAGTTAAAATGTGCATTTGGCAAGGTGGGGCCCTGGTAGTTTTCTTATGTGGGTCATAGCAAATGCTACCTGGCTTAGCAGCAGAACTAGCTGACAAATCCTAGCCAGGCAGAGAAAATGTAGAAGATTGTCAGTGTCCAGGTGATTCTCTGGGGTTAGTACTCCAGGAAAGGGTCATTTCCATTAGCTCTGAGGCTGTCTTCTTATGGACAGGTACACTATACTCACTTCATTCCCCCTCACAATATCTCGGCATGGAGTGAGCTGGGGTTCAGAAGTCCACTCTTTCAGGGAAGCCAGGGGTTTAGGCAGGGGCACAGGAAGAAAGGTCTGTTGCAGTATTGTGCTGACCCACAAGGCACTCCAGGGGCGTGGCTGAGGCTTATAGGGACAGGTGCCAGTGCTGCTGGGCTCCTCACCACCTGGAGCAGGACTTGGCCAGGTACAGCAAGCACCACAAGGGGGAGTGCTGGGAATACAGACAAGAAGAACAAAGCTGGCTAAAGGATGGTATCTCTGCAATTAGAATGTAACTCGACGGGAACATTTAATTTGACATACAAGAATTGCACTTTCTTGCAATATTTAAGGATGTACAACAGTTAAAGGCAGTACAAATGATAGAAATAAAATGTGCCAGCTTTATAAACTATAAAGCCCACTCTCCCCCTCCCCCAGTGGATGAGAATTGAAGACAGACTTACCAGTAAGTAGGTAAATCACAGTTGTTTCCAGATCGGGATGGCGTCTTCATTGCCAGGTCACCCACATCTAGAGTAATGTCTGTCACATAGCAAACATGCAACAAATACTTATTGAACAAATGAATGAACAGATGAATAAGATTCACAGTCTTCAATAGGGATCAATTAGTGCTCTTAGAAAGCTTTGGGAGAGATCTGTCACCTGCGAGGCACCTGAAGGAGAAAGAATGAAAATGCAGTAATTTCAAAGGGTGAAATCAACTAAGGTGCACTTTGAATCATGAAAAGGAAATTGGACTTTTGTTTCTACTTTTAATTAGGAGGCCCTGAAACTTCTGAATGAAGTTCAAGAACACCTGGAGGAAGAAGAAAAGCTATGCCAGGTGTCTTTGGCCGATTCCTGGGATGAATGCAAGTCTTGCCTGGAAAATAACTGCATGAGAATTTATACAGCCTGTCAGACTAGTTGGTCCTCTGTGAAAAATAAGGTAAGATAAAAAGAGAGCTCAAGATTTCACAGTTCTTAAGGCACCTATTTCAGCTGACTTTTTTATTAGTTTATGTTAATATTTAGAACAGAGATGCCTGATCTGTTACAGTCCTTTTGCTTTCTAGAACCTAACACTAATGCTACATCCATCACCAGTGTAATACGCAATTTGTAAGTTAGCGCATCCATTCAGTGGACGCTGAATGCATCTCTTAAAATATCCTGGCTTTCTTCTTTGTATTTGTTATTTATGAACATGTTCCCACTAGATGATAAGCTCTTTGAGGGCAGGGATCATATCTTGTTTATCTTCATTTGGGCATTAGAGGCATCCAACAAATGTTTACTGAATTGCATTCAGAATCATAGTATTGCAGTCTCTGATTCCAATCTACATTAATTTTTCCTTCTGGAGGCCGTTTAAAGCTATTATCTGCCTCCCAAATGTCACCTTCAACATGCTTGCCTCCTTATGTATAGCATGCACACATGTGCACACACCCCCCCCTTCATGTCCCCTTTTTCCCTACCCATGAATGTTCTGTAGGTCTGGCATGTTTTCTTTTTTGTCCCCTTTGGTTGTCTTTGAGCAGAGGGATCACAGAGGGTGCTGACCTGAATAGGATGAGCTCTGCCCCACTAAAGGCTCCAATTAGGCTAGATTTTCCTTCCCCTTCAAGAAGGGAGCTGAATACAAAATTGAGTGGAATTTCACGCTCCATATTAGAGCACACACTAATTAGAGTATGCTCCTGGCTTGGCAATGCCATACTCAATTACAAAGGGAGCCAAGATGATGAATGCGCCAAGTTAATTTGCCTCCACTACTAATTGCATCTGCTCTATTTTTAGAGCCACTGTCACCTGCTAATACACCAGAATATGGTGTAATGAGCACCAGCAGGAAGTCAGGAGATTTGGGGACCTTAGTCGTGTGATCTTATGAAAACTTCTTGAGGCTTTAAAGATTTGTTTTTGTGGATGAAGAATCAAGTAAACGGAAGCTGGTATAGGGAGAGGCAGACAACCCACCCAAATTGCTTTCTTTTCTATTTTTTTCTTGAGACATGGTCTGGCTCTTTCGCCCAGGCTAGAGTACAGTGGTGCCATCTTTGCTCACTGCAGGCTCCACCTCCCAGGTTCAAGTGATTCTCCTGCCTCAGCCTCCTGAGTAACTGGGATTACAGGCACCTGTCACCACACCCAGCTAATTTTTGTATTTTTAGTAGAGATGGGGTTTTACTATGTTGGCCAGGCTGGTCTTGAACTCCTAACCTCAGGTGATCCATCTGCCTCAGCTTCCCAAAGTGAAAACTTGACCTTTTTAGGCCATCAGTGGGCAAATGCAAGCCAGGAGAAATTTCAGATCCTGTTTCCATAGGCAAAGGCAAAGCCAGGTATAAGAGGGTTAAGAAATTATCTTAAAGTTAATTGTCTCATCCTAGCTTGGCCAGAATTATTCTTAATTTGAAATGACTACTGTAAGTTGACTTTAAAATTTACAATAAAAAATGGTCCAGGGCCAGGTACGATGGTTCTTGCCTGTAATCCTAGCACTTTGGGAGGCCAAGGAGTGTGGATTGCCTGAGCTCAGAAGTTTGAGATCAGCCTGGGCAACATGGTGAAACCCTGTCTCTACTAAAATACACAAAAAAATTAGCTGGGCGTGGCAGCATGCAACTGTAATCCCAGCTATTCGGGAGGCTGAAACAGGAGAATTGCTTGAACCCAGGAGGCGGAGCTTGCAGTGAGCCGAGATTGTGCCATTATACTCCAGCCCGAGCAACAGAGCATGACTCCACCTCGAAAGAAAGAAAGAAAGAAAGAAAGAAAGAAAGAAAGAAAGAAAGAAAGAAAGAAAGAAAGAAAGAAAGAGAAGGAAGGAAGGAGGGAGGGAGGAAAAGGAGGGAGGAAGGAAGGAAGGAAAGAAGGAAGGAGGGAACGGTCCAGAAAAAAACTAGTATTTTATTTCCATTTCTGTCCCCTACTCTACTCCACAGATTGAACGGTTTTTCAGGAAGATATATCAATTTCTATTTTCTTTCCATGAAGATAATGAAAAAGATCTTCCCATCAGTGAAAAGCTCATTGAGGAAGATGCACAACTGATGCAAATGGAGGACGTGTTCAGCCAGCTGACTGTGAATGTGAATTCTCTCTTTAATAGGAGTTTTAACGTCTTCAAACAGATGCAGCAAGAATTTGACCAGACTTTTCAATCACATTTCATATCAGATACAGAGCTAACTGAGCCTTACTTTTTTCCAGCTTTCTCTAAAGAGACAATGACAAAAGCAGATCTTGAGCAACCTTGGGACATTCCCAACTTCTTCCAGCTGTTTTGTAATTTCAGTCTTTCTATTTATGAAAGTGTCAGTGAAACAATTACTGAGACACTGAAGGCAATAGATCTACCAAAACAAGACAAAGGTAAGTATTAAAAGATTACTTTTACTTAGATGTCTGCACTAAAGTCAAGTTTTGTTTAGCTTCAGAAACGATAGACATTTCTGAGTCACATTGTATAACATTTCTTGAAGTGACAATTTATGGAAAAAGTTTTCAGAGCCTCTTAAAAGAAGCTTTGAAGTCTGCTACACACCATCCCTCTTCCATCATTACCGAGAACTGAACTCTTTCTAGAGCAAATTTTCAAAGCAGAACAAAAAAAAATGCTAATGGGTTGAGAGCTTTTTTAAAAAGTTCCTTCCTTTATTACTTATTTATTTTTATTTATTTATTTATTTTGAGAAAGAGTCTCACTCTGCCGACCAGGCTGGAGTGCAGCGGGGTGATGATGGCTCACTGCAACCTCCACATCCTGGGTTCAAGCGATTCTTCTGCCTCAGCCTCCTGAGTAGCTGGGACTACAGGTTTGAACTCCTGACCTCAGGTGATCTGCCCACCTTGCCCTCCCAAAGTGCTGGTATTGCAGGTGTGAACCACCATGCCTGGCCATTTCCCTCATTTATGAAAGCTCATGTGGATGCTCAGCTCTATTCTGCTAAAGCTTCAGGGACTTTTTAAATAATTGATCGGAAATTCTCCACTCCCAGTTTGAGAAGAAGCTCACTCTCACATATAACCAGAGCAATTTAGTCCCCTCCTCTGAATCACTAAAATCATTACTTAAATCATAAAGTGTATGCATAAAACACAGAAAATGCTCATAAACAGCAAACTACAGAATTATTAGATAAGAATTGCCTTCCACCAATACTAATCAGGTCTCATGACACTCCATGTTGGATACACAATGCTGCTTTATGTTTTAAGCCAGGAGATATCTTTTATGGGCTTCTATGGAGGAAATTAGATACCGTGTTTGAGAAATGAGAATTGCCATGAGGGTCAAGTGTAGGATCTGCATCTCCTTTGTTATTGTATTGACCACTAAGCCAAGTTGAAGGCTGCTCCCCTCTGAGATGAAAACTAAAGTGCGTTCCTTCTATCTGACTATTTTTTTTCTTTTTCTTTTATTAGAGGGAGGGAAGGATGAAATCTTGCTCTATTGCCCAGGCTGGAGTTCACTGGCGTGGTCTTGGCTCACTGCAACCTCCGCCTCATGGGTTCAATCAATTCTTCTGCCTCAGTCTCCCAAATAGCTGGGATTATAGGTGCCTGCCACCACGCCTGGCTAATTTTTGTATTTTTAGTAGAGATAGGGTTTCACCATGTTGGCCAGGTTGGTCTCAAACTCCTGACCTAAGGTGATCTGCTCACCTCGGCCTCCCAAAGTGCTGGGATTCCAGGTGTGAGCCATTGTGCCCAGCCTCAAATGACTTTAAATAGAGAGGGTATTCTGGATTATCCAGCTGGATTCAATCTAATCACAGGGTCCTTAAAAGTGGAAGAAGGAGACAGAAAAGAATGAATAGCAATGGCTGCAAAGGAGGAATCTGGCCCTACTTTGATGACCTTGAAGACAGGACAAGGCAGGCTTGAACCGAGGAATGTAAGTGGCCTCGAGGAACTGGAAATGGTAGAGAAATGAATTCTCCTCTAGAGCCTCCACAAAAAACTAGCCCTGCTGACATCTTGATTTTAGCCCAGTAAGACCCACTTCAGAATTCTGACCTAAAAGACCATCCAATAATGAGTTTGTGCTGTTTCAAGCCACGGAATCTGTGGTGGTCTGTAACAGAGCTAATAGTAATAGTAACTGACCAACATTTACCAAGCGAGTTCTGTGTGGCAGCCTTCATGGATGGGCCTTATTGGTCATGATTGTTTAAGGGGCCCAAATTAGAAAAATAGCTAAAACTGAATTCTGAACACCATTCAAAGGACAGCAGAAATTTGAAAATCAGAAATATCTTGATAATTAATGTTATTACTATTCTTTTTAGTATAGTTTCATTTTGGCGTCATATTTCTTTCCTATCTAGCTTTCTGGACCTCAGTTCCTGAATCTGTTAAAAGAGAATAAAGTAGCTCTTGGAATTGTCTTGACTTGTCTTATGAATCTCTGCAAAGAACAGATGAGATCATGTTCTACTGTAGCTTGACCAGTGCTGGGGGCCAGGAGATCTGGTTCTAATCCTGCCTTAGAGAGTATCAGTTGACATTAATTTTCTCATGGAGGAAACAAACAGGCAGGAGGGAAAGTAGATGATTTATCTTAGCAACAATCGGAAGTAGCTTCCTGGAAAGGTTCCGAAGTTCTGTCAAGGCTTGACTAAGAAAGGTGATGAATTATGCTGTGGGTGCAGGATTGAAAATTAGTGTCACGTGGGCCTGGAATTTGTCATTCTTTGTGTACCTTCCAGGTATTAATATAGATAAGATGATGATTATGATACAGCCCCTGACTTCCAGAAGCTCAGTCCAGAGAAAGGAAAACAGATCAGTGGAGAATTACATCACCATATCGTGGGTGAAATGGCAGAAGAAGGTACAGAAGAATGACAAGATTAAAATGGCAAGACCAAATCCCTTCCCTCAAGAGGTTTAGTGTATAACAGAAAAGATAAGAAAGCAAACACTGCATAAAGCAGGAATAAATTCACAGTGGAACGCCTCACAGGGGGTTATGTGGGGCAAAGAAGAAGGTCCCAGAAAGCAGCTGGGAGAAATTGACCTTCTAGTCACCGAAGGGAATGGGTGCCTGGCACACTATTCTGTCAAACGACGCTTCGCTGTTTTTAAACTAGGGACTTTGCAATTTATCTCAAAATAAAATGTTTCATTTTTAAATGCTGAGGATTTAATCTAACAGAAAATCATCAGGTTGTAAATTAGTAATACGTGTTTCCTAATGTGAACACTCTATTGAGAATTGCCAATTTTCTGTTGGATAGACTTCTCTTTTACATCAACATTTTTATATAGATTGTTAATTCTCCTATGGGAAAAACTTCTCAAAACTTGATCTGCTTTAAGTATTTTCCTAAATCTTTGACCCACTGTTCATAACAGTATATACATCTGCATACTCACACACTCACACAATACGTGTATATTTGAGAAATGCAAAAAACAATAGTAATAAAATAGATACCTAACATCCACTTTAAGAAAGACATTTCTAATACCTTTGAAACTTCTTCCCAATTATAGCTTTAAAAATTAAAATAATTATTAGACGGTTTTTTTTTTTTTTTTTTTTTTTTTTTTGAGACGGAGTTTCACTCTTGTTACCCAGGCTGGAGTGCAATGGCGCGATCTTGGCTCACCGCAACCTCCTCCTCCTGGGTTCAGGCAATTCTCCTGCCTCAGCCTCCTGAGTAGCTGGGATTACAGGCACACGCCACCATGCCCAGCTAGTTTTTTTGTATTTTTAGTAGAGACGGGGTTTCACCACGTTGACCAGGATGGTCTCGATCTGTTGACCTCATGATCCACCCGTCTCGGCCTCCCAAAGTGCTGGGATTACAGGCGTGAGCCACCGCGCCCGGCCCTAGACGGTTTTTTAATAGAGAAAAATCCAAAGAAAAAAATGGTTCACAATCACCTATTTACTTAATCCTATTATCAGAAATACTAATGATACAAATAAGATATGCTATCTTTAAAATAATTCAAATATGTAAAAGAACAAAATAAATGAAAGCTGCCCTCTCCTATCTTATCAAGTCCTGCTCCTAAAAGATAGTTATTCATAATTCTTCATGATTCCCCCTAGAAAATAAAATTACATGCATTAATATATGTGTGTAAATAATAATAATAAATTTCTAGTAATGAGATTCTTGGATTCAAGGGTATGTGCAATTTTTAATAGATGTCCGGTTGTCCTAGGAAATGATTGCACCAACATGCATTCCAGTGTCTAAATATAGAAAAAAGGGTTGGGCGCAGTGGCTCATGCCTGTAACCTCAGCATTTTGAGAGGCTGATGTAGGTAGGTCATTTGAGGTCAGTAGTTCAAGACCAGCCTGGCCAACATAGTGCAACCCAGTCTCTACTAAAAGAACAAAAATTAGCTGGGCGTGGTGGTGCATGCCTGGAATCCTAGCTACTTGGGAGGCTGAGGCAGGAGCATCACTTGAACCCTGGAAGCAGAGATTGCAGTGAGCCAAGATGGCACCACTGCACTCCAGACTGGGCAACAGAGCAAGACTCCACCTGAAAAATAAACAAGTAAAGAAATAAATAAATAAGATTTGAAAGCACTGGTAAGAAAAATCAGTAACATTGTCTCCAGTTCTTTAAAGTGGAAACTCTTACAACACTAATGTGTAAATGTTGTGTTTCCTGTAGCCCCTGACAACGGAAGCCTGATTTCAAAGATGGTACCTGGGCAGGACACAGGACTGTGTGGGGAACTTGGCCAGAATTTGTCCGGATGTTTCAGATTTCATGAAAAATGCCAAAAATGTCAGGCTCACCTGTCTGAAGGTAAATAATTGCTTTTTTTTAAAGGGTTTCTTTAGTATTCTGGACAGAGGACAAAATCTCACTCTCACAAGCATTGTGGATTCATTTGCTGTCCTCTAAGCAATCCAAGCACTTTTTTTGCAGGCTCATTTCCATCTGGGAGTGCCCAATGTCATTCTTTCACTTTCTTTAATTCCCTAATTCTTCTTGTGATTTTTTTTTTTTTTTTTTTTTTTTTTTTTTTTTTTTTTTTTTTTGAGACGGACTTTTGTTACCCAGGCTGGAGTACAATGGCGCGATCTCGGCTCACCGCAACCTCCGCCTCCTGGGTTCAGGCAATTCTCCTGCCTCAGCCTCCTGAATAGCTGGGATTACAGGCACCCACCACCATGCCCAGCTGATTTTTGTATTTTTAGTAGAGACGGGGTTTCACCTTGTTGACCAGGATTGTCTCGATTTCTTGACCTCGTGATCCACCCGCCTCGGCCTCCCAAAGTGCTGGGATTACAGGCGTGAGCCACCGCGCCCAGCCCGATTTTTTTTTTAATGATTAAAGACCAAACACTAATGTGTGCAAAAGAAAAACATTGAGCAAGTTAGGGCAACTCCCTTCTTCTTACAGCAAAGAAAAAGAACCCCCCATCCCCACCCCTCAGCCACCACCCCTCCCACTCCCCTACCCCTCCCACTCCTCCCACCAGGAAAGAAACCTTCTCATTCTGTAAATCAATGTTTAGACAAGTGAAATGTTTTTTGAAAGTGGCATTGGCTCTTTCCCATTGGTGGGTTAATTAACTAATTAGCATTTAAATAGGGAAAGTGACTTCTCCTCCCAAGCCCCAGGAAGCCTTTTCCCTCCCAGGGCAGCCTTTCCAGTTCCTTTCCCAGGAAGGAAATCATTCTCCCTTTCCTCCATCCCTCCCCTCATTCCCTTTTCCTTGTGACTGAAGTCACTCCTCCCGCCCCAGCAGGGCCAAATTACAAATTTTCTTATATAAAACAAGAGTTTTTGATTCCTATGCTTCTGCATTTTATCTCACTAAAGCCCTAGGGAAGGAAATTTAATTAAAAGTGTGGCTAATGGCTTAGAGTAGGAAATTGGAAGATACAGGAAGGACAGAAATCAATACGTCGGTAAATTCTACCACACTGGCTTGAGATTTTGGGTAACTCATTTATGCTGTCTAGGCCTCAGTTGAATAATCTGTAAATAAAGGACCCAAGATAACCTTTGGATTCTAATAAAATTCTTCCATAAAGCAGTGGTCCCAAACTTTTAGCACCAGACTAGTTTCGTGGAAGACAATTTTTCTGAAGATGGTGGGGCAGGGGCCATGGTTTGTGGAGGATCATCAGGGATTAGATTCTCCTAGGGAGCGCTCAGCCTAGATCCCTCGCATGCACAGTTCACAACAGGCTTAGTGCTCCGGTGAGAATCTATTGCCTGATCTGGCAGGAGGCGGGGCTCAGGCAGTAAAGCTTCCTCGCCAGCCGCTCACCTCCTGCTGTACCGCCCAGTTCCTAACCCGCCACAAGCTGGTCCGGGTCCATGGCCCAGGGGTTGGGGACTCCTGCTATAAAGGAAGTTCAGAAAAAATTAGGTTATAGTTAGTTTGCTACCAAGTAATAGCTCTTGTGCCCTTAACTTCCCTCAGTGAAGACCACTGTAATAATTTTATATCAACAGAAAGAACGAAAAGTATAGTCAGTGGAAACTCCCGTCTCTCCCTTTGTGTTCTCTCCTCAATCTAGCAATGAACAACTTGCAACAAACTTCACTGTTCAGAGAAAAGGGAGAATAGAATTGTTACAATCTTTATATATATACTTTAAGTCCGGAGGTACATGTACAGAATGTGCAGGTGTGTTACATAGGTATACACGTGCTAGGGTGTTTTTGTTTGTTTGTTTGTCTGTTTGTTTTTCGGTTTTTCTGAGATGGAGTCTTGCTCTGTCGCCCAGGCTGGAGTGCAGTGGCCTGATCTCTACTCACTGCAACCTCCACCTCCTGGGTTCAAGTCATTCTGCCTCAACCTGAATAGCTGGGATTCTCCGGAATAGCTGAGATTACAGGCATGCACCATCCCGCGGGGCCAACAAATGGTTACAATCTTAAACAGCATAATATCTTAAACATATTGGCTTTTTAATATATCATTAGACACACCACAATACTAATAAAGGTTACCTTTGGGTTTTAAGCTTAAAGATGATGTTTTAAAATACTTCTTTCTATATTTTCCAAACTGTTAACCATAAACATAAGATATTCCTTGACTTAGGATAGGGTTATGTCACAATCAACCCATCATAAATTTGAAAATTCATAAGTTGAACCATTGTAAGTTGGGGACCATATGTACAGATATGCACATATGATATTAAAAATTATTAGACACCCTTAAAACTTATTTGACTTTTTAACATATTGCTTTTATTTAATCACTTTGCTCAAGAAGCCTGTGCATTACATATTAATATTCTCTGTTATAAAACAGGTCTTTCCATTGTGCAGATTAATGCATTGTAGAGGTTCTAGACATCTACATGCTTTGCAACTCAAAAGGAGTAAGTTTCCCTTTCTAATTTTTTAATTCAATTAAACAACCCCCCATGAATTTAATAGTCTATTAAATTAGATCATTATTTGAGTGATTATTAAATCTTTTTAGAGTCAACAACATTCCCTTTCTCTTTTTTTTTTTTTTTTTTTTTTTTTTTTTTTTTTTTTTTTGAGTAGGAGTCTCACTCTGTCACCCAGGCTGGACTGCAATGGTGCAATCTCGGCTCACTTCAACCTCCATTTCCCAGGTTCAAGTGATTCTCCTGCCTCAGCCTCCCAAGTAGCTGGGATTGCAGGCACCTGCCACCATGCCCAGCTAATTTGTTGTATTTTTAGTAGAGATGGGGTTTCGCCATGTTGGTCAGGCTAGTGGCGAACGCCTGACCTCAAGTGATCTACCTGCCTCGGCCTCCCAAAGTGTTGGGATTACAGGCATGAGCCACCATGCCCAGCCGCTTTCTCCTTTTCAAATGTCACCAGCCCGGGTTCTTATTTCCACTGAATTTTTAAGTTAGTTGGGCTAGTGAGGGAGTCAGTTTACGTGGGCCACAGAACAAGAACAAGGTTTTTCTTTCTCACCCTCTTCTGCTTCATTCTCTCTCAGCCTCTCCCCACCTCAATAGTTGGTCTTTTCTCCTCCTTCTTTTGAAAGCAGGGTAATACAAATGGACCTATCTACTTCTCCACATCCCTCTTGGGCCAAATTTTCTGCAATGGACACATCTACTTCACCTTAGAATGTATATTAGAAAATTTTGACATCTAGAAGCTCTTATGACAGTAAAGGGTTTGGAAAGCATTGCCCCAAGTAGCTTTGATTATAAACTGGACCTTTTTGCTGAGTTACCTAGAGCAGTTGAGAATGCCCTCTCTGCTGGCCAGGTGCGGTGGCTCCCGCCTGTAATCTCAGCACTTTGGAAGGCCAAGGCAGGTGGATCACCTGAGGTCAGGAGTTTGACGCCAGCCTGGCCAACGTGGTGAAACCCAGTTCTACTAAAAATACAAAAATTAGCTAAGCATGATGGCATGAACCTGTAATCCCAGCTACTCAGGAGGCTGAGGCAAAAGAATTGCTTATACCTGGGAGGCGGAGGTTGCAGTTAGCCAAGATCAAGCCACTTCACTCCAGCCTGGGCCACAGAGCTAGACTCTCTTTCAAAAATAATAATAATAAATACATAAATAAAATTTTTTAAAAATTAAAAAAGAGTGCTCTCTGTCCTGAATTGCTGACTTGAGGACTCTCTCAACCTGTTTCATCATTTGGAAGGTGGGAATAATATATCTGCTTCATACACATCTTTTGAAGATTAAATAAAACGTCTGATGTATCAATGATTCTCATTATTCAAGTATTCATTTTTTAAGTCACAGTTACAAGGTTATATACAGAAGCAGAGGTTTTATAACAGAAAAATATACACTTGATATACTGAACTGTTACAAAATAGTTTCTCACAAGCATCCCATATATGTATCGTTAACATCTATTTCCGTCTAGCTAGCTTAAAGATTTCATTAATAATCCTTGAATGTCACAAGATAATAGAGTAAATCAGATAACATATTAAAATGCACCTGATAATCAGTATATACCAGATAGTGAATACCGTATACATCAGATAATACAGTACAAACGCAATGAAAGTTTAGTGTTGCAAAGGTAAAATGTAAAGAATGTCCTAATGTGCTCCCATGCTGCTTAAAACTATTATTATAAAATGCATTTTATTATAAATATATAAAGAATGATGTAATAGGCCAAGCATGGTGGCTTACACCTGTAATTCCAGGTCTTTGGGAGACCAGGGCAGGAGAATCACTTGAGGTTAGGAGTTTGAGACCAGCCTGGCCAACATGGTGAAACCCTGTCTCTACTAAAAATATAAAAATTAGCCAGATGTGGTGGTGCACACCTGTAATCCCAGCTACTCTGGAGGCTAAGGCAGGAGAATTGATTGAACCCAGGAGGCAGAGGTTGCAGTGAGTCAAGATCAAGCCTCTGCACTCCAGCTTAAGTGACAGAGCAAGACTCTGTCATTACTTTAAAAAAAAAAAAAAAAAAAAAAAAAAAAGGTGCCTACTACCTAGATTGAGAAACAGAACATTACCAAAATAGACAAAGCCCCACTGTATCTCCCTCCACATCACAGTCACTTCGTCTCCTCAAAAGGAAACTGCTATTTTGAATTTGGTATTAATTATTTCCTTGCATTTCTTCTTACTCATATCATGTGCTTATATGATATAAAACATATAAACATGAATACATCATACAGAGCAATGTTTAACATTTTAATTTTTGTATTGTCAATGTAGAATTTTTTTTTTTTTTTTTTTTTTTTTTTTTTGAGACGGAGTTTCGCTCTTGTTACCCCGGCTGGAGTGCAATGGCGCGATCTCGGCTCACCACAACCTCCGCCTCCTGGGTTCAGGCAATTCTCCTGCCTCAGCCTCCTGAGTAGCTGGGATTACAGGCACGCACCACCATGCCCAGCTAATTTTTTGTATTTTTAGTAGAGACGGGGTTTCACCATATTGACCAGGATGGTCTCGATCTCTTGACCTTGTGATCCACCCGCCTCGGCCTCCCAAAGTGCTGGGATTACAGGCTTGAGCCACCGCGCCCGGCCGTCAATGTAGAATTTTTAAACTTAAAAATAAGCTTCATACAACATGAAAGGGACACATGACTGGCCGGGTATGGTGGCTCATGCCAGTAATCCCAGCATTTTGGGAGGCCAAGGCAGGCGATCACTTAAGGCCAGGAGTTCGAGACCAGCCTGGTCAACATGGTGAAACCCTGTCTCTATTAAAAATACAAAAATTAGCCAGGCATGGTGGTGTGCACATGTAGTCCCAGCTACTCAAGAGGCTGAGGCAGAAGAATCACTTGATCCCAGGAAGCAGAGGTTGCAGTGAGCCAAAATTGTGCCACTGCACACCAGCCTGGGCGACAGAGTGAGATTCTGTCTCAAAAATAAATAAATAAATAAATAAATAAATAAATAAATAAGAAAGAAAAAAAGAAAAGAAATGGGCACATGTCAAATGTTAATTTTACTATTTAACTTATTAATGAAGGAACCAGCAGGCTGTTCGAGCTGGATCAAAGGAGTATAATTGAGACTGGAATGCTTAGAGTCAAGAGACAGATTACGAAATTAGATATAAATTAGTTAATATTCTAAAGGGTTACAACTCGATCAAGACAGTTAAAAAGAGAAAGAATAAAAAAATTTTTTTAATTCTAAAGGGCAACTAAACTGTAAATGTTACCATTATCTTTTCTATCAGACCAAGATAATTTACATCTCTACTGGACAAACATTTGCCACTTTTCAATCCATAATTTACAGTTAATTTCATGGAGTGTGGCCCTAATCAACAGTAAATAGTAAGGCCAACAAAGGATCACTTCCCTAGATCACGAAGTGATCTTTGGGTGGGCCTCTTAGACAATACTTTAGTATGACACTGAAAGGACATGCAAGCCTGGGCAGCATAGTGAAACCCCGCCTTTATGAAAAAATGTAAAATTAGCTGGGCATGGAGATGTGAGCTATAGTCCCAGGTAACCTCAGGAGGCTAACGTGGGAATAGCACTTGAGCCCAGGAGTTCGAGGTTATAGTGAGCTATGATAATACCACTGCACTTAAGCTGGGGTAACAGAGCAAGAATCTGTTTCAAAAAAAAAGAAAGAAAGAAAGAAAAAGAAATGAAAGGAAAAATAGCCATTATTTTACCTCATTTCCAAGTTCTGGATAATTTTTCTTTTTTCTTTTTTTTTTCAAGACAAAAAGTCTCACTCTGTCACCTGGGCTGGAGTGCAGTGGCACGATCTCAGCTCACTGCAACCTCAGCCTCCGGGTTCAATCAATTCTCCTGCCTCAGCCTTTCAAGTAGCTGGGACTACAGGCATGCGCCACCATGCCCGGCTAATTTTGTATTTTTAGTAGTGACGAAGTTTCACCATGGTCAGGCTTGTCTCCAACTTCTGACCTCAGGTGATCCGCCCACCTCAGCCTCCCAAAGTGCTGGGACTACAGGTGTTAAGCCACCACTCCTGGCCAATTTTTCTTTCTTAACAATATAAATATTATCTCTTATGCATTCTTTTGCAATATGACTTTTTACTCAGTGTAATGAGTGAAAATTCTGCTCTCGTTCATTAATTCGCTATTGTATGTTAAGTAAACATTTTTGGTCTTAAAGGTTTTTTTTTTTTTTGAGATGGAATCTCACTCTGTCGCCAGGCTGGAGTGTGGAATGCAGTAGCACAATCTCGGCTCACTTCAACATCTGCCTCCCGGGTTCAAGCAATTCCCCTGCCTCAGTTTCCTAAGTAGCTGGAACTACAGGTGCATGCCACCGTGCCCATCAATTTTTTGTATTTTTAGTAGAGGCGGCGTTTCGTCATGTTGGCCAGTATGGTCTCAATCTCTTGTTTGGTCTTAATTTTAAGCGGCTTTACCATATATGGTTCTTTTCCTTTTTTCCCATACTAATTACTGGTACTGGACATATATATCCAAAACCAAATAGTAGTGTTCTTTTTAAGGTCTAAATGGGATATGATGTAGAAGGGGCATAGTAGGGACTTCACCTGTTTTGGCAAAGTTTTTCTTAATATAGATGGTAGGCATGTGGAATTTATAACAAAAAGTTCTGTCTCCAGCTTAGTTTCTGTTACGTGAAACCATATAATTAAGTTAAACTGGATCTGGTTTGACACAATGTAGGCAACATTAATAATTACTCCAGAGCAACGGGCATAAACTAGCAACTCCCACAGGCAAAAGGGAAAAATAAAGAGCGTAGGGCTGGGACGTAAGCCTGTGTCACCCACCTCCAAGTTTCACGGATCTTTTCCTTCTCTGCGTTACTTTCTTCTTTGCTAGACTGTCCTCACATACTTGCCCTGCACACGGAATTAGACGAGGCCATCAGGCTGGTCAACATATCCAATCAGCAGTACAGCCAGATTCTCCAGCTGACCCAGAAGCACTTGGAGGACACTGCCTGCCTGGTGGAGAAGATGAGAGGGCAATTCGGCTGGGTGTCTGAACTGGCAGACCAGACTCCAGAAACAGAGATCATCTTTAATTCATTACAGGTAAAGGCGAGACCCAAGAGCAGATACGGAGATGACATGTGCACACCTTGATTTCACTGTTAATTTACTTATTTGTATCTGAATTTGAAAACAAGCTGTAGAGGATATTCGTATTTCCATTGTGACTGCATACAGGCTGACTTGATTTAACGTAGTTCATGGTCTTTAGGAAACAAGAAACTCTATAAAGAAAATCAATTTAAAATACAAAATAGTTTCTAATCCAGAAATGGCTAATTCTGCTTAGAGTTATAGGGCTATAACTAATAGAGGTAACCTTGAAAAAATCTGGCCAGTGTAGTTTTTAAGAAAGAAGACTTACAAATAAAGCAATTTGAGTTCAAAATTTAACTCTGAAACTTAGCTAAGTAAGCTTGGGAAAGTACCTAAACCATTCTAGGTCTCAGTTGTCACCTGTAAAGTGGGGTTAATAATAGCTATCTTAACATGTACACCTACAAAGTGACTAGTGTGACTTCTTACGCAAAACAAGAGCTTTGTACATTATAGCTCTTATTAGGTGCTGACACAATAAAGCCACTGAGTTATCTTGAGAATTAATCATTTATGTGTTACTCTTCACATAAAAACATATTGCCAGCTGGACACAGTGGCTCATGCCTATAATCCTAGCATTTTGGGAGGCCGAGGTGGGTGGATCACTTCAGGTCAGGAGTGCAAGACCTGCCTGGCCAACATGGTGAAACCCCATCTCTACCAAAAATATTAAAAAATTAGCCAGGTGTGGTGATGCACGCCTGTAATCCTAGCCACTCAGGAGGCTGAGGTAGGAGAATCGCTTGAACCTGGGAGGCAGAGGTTGTAGTGAGCTGAGATCGTGCTACTGCACTCCAGCCTGGGTGACAGAGTGAAACTCCGTCTCAGAAAAAAAAAAAAAGAAAGAAAATAAAACCACATTGCCATCTTAAATTGCACCGATACCATGACTCCCAGATTCAGTCAATAACTTTCTGCATAACATGAAAGTGACTGACTTTTCTTCCTAAGGCATCCCCACTCCAACACACACACACACATTACATTAATCTACAAATGCACCAGGCTAGTGATTCCTGATAAGGCTGGTATTGAGGGGTTCCCCAAAAGACCTGGATACAAAAACCACTAGGCAGAGCAATTGAAGATGCAATATTCTGTGTAGTATGTTATGCTGATGCCCTACCCGGATCCCTGGGGATCCCTTTTACCAGCTCCCACTGGTGCTGGTGCTGGTGCTAACTGCTTATCCTTGAAACTTTCTCCAAAGAATTGCCCTTGGTGTACTTCACCCCAGAGCTTCCTGCATGATCAGGCCGAGGCTAAGGTCATCTGAAGCCATGTCCTTGCTTAGCTTCTTTCGCTTCTCTAGTTTGCTTTCCTCATCCCCTTAAAAGTTGCACCTGAGAGCACTCCTTTATAAGCCACTTCTGTCAGAATCTCAGGCACTGCTTCCTGGAAATTTGACTTATGGCATTCTATAATCCAGCATTTCTCTCTTTTTTCAAACAACAAAGCTATGGATCATGTATGATTTGAGAAATAAGTTTAGAAAGTCACAGCAAGTTCATTAGAAAACCAAATTTAAAAACCATACAAAAAATAGACTAGGACAAAGTAGCAAATATTAGCATGCATTGCATTTCATAAGTCATACACGCATCATGGAACTTTCATTTCCATTTTGTATGTGTATATGTGTGTAAACACATAAACATGTAGACATGCGTGTGTGTTTTGAGTCATGATATCAAGTGTATTTGTTAATACAAACCACAGTCGAAGAGGTTTGAAAGCCACTGTTCCAATCCCTACCAGCTCTCTGATTCTATAACTCCATCAGATCATACTATAGGAAGGTAAAATAATTCAATATATTTGATCATCCTCACATATGTAGACTTTTAGTTTAATGATGAAAAAGTCTTGTCTTGAAGAATAAAGCTTGAAGAAAAATGTTAGCAGTGCTTTCAACCTTTAGAAAGCTACAGCCAATATTTAATTTTTACCATTGTCAATACTGTCCAGTCTGTACTTCAGTTTACTTCCATTCTAGTGTCTCTGAGTAGCACTAACAGATTTATCTAAAATTCTTTATGCTGATAACAAAGTCACTTCTATATGAAAACCTCCACATAAAATTATGGTTTTCAATTCTAGATTTTTTAATAACAATTATTACCACTAAAGCACTTATTAGATGTCAGGCAATGTTCTAAGAACTTTTTCTACATATCAGATCATTTAATACCCTCATTAACTATATAAGGGAAGTAGTATTCCTTCCCCAGCTTTTCAAATGAGGCGCAAAGGAGGTTAAGCAACTTGTTTGAGTTCACACAGCTAGTAAATCGTAGAATTATAATTCAAACTCAAGCAATGTTTCTCTGGAATGAGTAAACGTGACCACTTTGCTAAACTGCCTGTGAAGATACTTTTCTCAAAACAGCTCTTTTTTTTTTTTTTTTAAGACGGAGTTTCGGCCTTGTTACCCAGGCTGGAGTGCAATGATGCGGTCTCAGCTCACCGCAACCTCCGCCTCCTGGGTTCAGGCAATTCTCCTGCCTCAGCCTCCTGAGTAGCTGGAATTACAGGCATGCGCCACCATGCCCAGCTAATTTTTTGTATTTTTAGTAGAGATGGGGTTTCATCATGTTGACCAGGATGGTCTCCATCTCTTGACCTCATGATCCACCCGCCTCGGCCTCCCAAAGTGCTGGGATTACAGGCTTGAGCCACCGCACCCGGCCTCAAAACAGCTCTTATTTCACCATGTCAAGTACAAACTCATAAAATAGCAAGTGTTGAACAGAAGCTTTATCAAAGAAATATACAAATTCCAGCAAGTGAAAACGGTATAGCCCCTGGTTGTATAATAGTTACATGAATGTTTGCTTTAGAATTATTTATACTAAACATAAATACTTTATGCAGTTTTTATGTATGTCATACTCGCTGAAAGAGAAGGGAAAGATTTTAAAATCATTCTCTTAAGGTTACATCAAGTCGCATCAATTCAGTTCCATTTGAATGATTCAAATCAAAGGCTATGCACTTGAGAATTCATTCAGAGAGTAGCATAATCTTTTTTTTTTTTAATGAATGAGAGGTTCTTATGTTGCCCAGGCTCACCTCGAATGCATAGCCTCACCTTCTCAAGCGCCAGGATAACTGGCCTGAGCTACTGTGGCTCCCAAGAGTAACGTATGTGTTCTTCATTAAGAGTAACATAAATTTTGCATTGATTCTTGCCAAAATCACACATACAACCATAAACTATAAATTTCTAGGAAAACTCAGTACAAAACTTGGTGCAATGCAATGAAGTTTGTGGCACAGACAGTAATACTCAGCAAACATCCCACCTCCTTGCTCAAAATTTCCAGCTCCGCTTGTGGTTAAATGTTGCCATGTGGCAGGTTCTGGCCAATGAAGCATGAATAAAACTGAAAAGGGTTCTTTGTAGACTGAGACGGTGAAGAGCCTATGAGTGCTCAACTATTCTCTTTTTCTGCTGAGGGCACAAAGAAAGCCATGAATTCATCTGCTACAGCTATGAGAAAATGTGCTTCTGCCCACCAGGCTGGTCAGTTTTTACCAGTATGTAGCCCTTGTAACAGACACATAACACGAACAAGAAATAAATCTTTGTTGCATGAAGCCCTAGGAATGCTAGGACTAATCTGTTACCTCAGCACAACTTAGCCTATCCTGACTAATGTGGTATTAAATTACTATTGAACGTGTATTGGGATTTAGTCATCTTTTACTGTCTAATCCTTCTTCTGTAGGTAGTTCCAAGGATTCATGAAGGAAGTATTTCCAAACAAGATGAAGCTATGATGACAGACGTAAGCATTCTTCCTTCTTCTAATTTCACACTCAAGATCCCTCTTGAAGAAAGTGCTGAGAGTTCTACCTTCATTGGCTACGTAGTGGCAAAAGCTCTACAGCATTTTAAGGAACATCTTAAAACTTGGTAAGCAGAGTGCCTGGTTAGGAATGCCTGTGGACAGGCATAGTTAATTCCCAAAAGGAAAGAACAAAACCTGTTGCAAAATACCTGGAAAATATGTTTGACCTCACTCATAAAGACATGAAAACAAGCAAGATGGCATTTTTGCCTATCAAATTTGCAAATTAAAAAAAAAAAAACCCACGAAATCTTGATAGGAATGTGATAAAATGGGAATTCTCGTATGTCATATATTGGTAGGAAAATACATTTTTTTTTCTTTTTGAAAGCTATTTGATTATGCATATGAAGAGCCATACATTTTTTTAATATAATAATTCCACTTCTGAAATCAATCCTAAGGAATAAATCTAAACTTGATGAAAAGTTCTCCCTCCAAGATCTACATTTGCAAGATTATTTAAAATATTACAATGTTAAATGTAATCTTAATATCTAAAAACAAGAGTTTAAGTAAATTATGACTAAATACACTCAATGTGTTTTATGAAACATTAAAAATATTGTAAAAATTTAAATAAGGACTTGCTAACTACTTTAACAAGACCTTTATTATAAGCCAGTCTTGGAGGTAATATTATTATCATCATTTTACAGAAAAATATCCTGAGGTTCATTGTCCAAGTTCCAAGGAACAACTTGAGTCAGGAGTGGGAGAGCAGACTGTGGAGCCAGTTCTCCCTCTGACTTGATCATCACATTGTACTGCTTCCTGTTAAGCTATTTGCTCAAAAAATGCAAAATATAAAAATCTGAGTAATACGATCAACCTTGAAGAATAATTACATTTTAAGTTATCATTCATAAGGGACCTTGTTAGTAGGTCACTACAGTGTAATTAAGCTAGATGTGACAGGATTTGCTGCGTCTCCCTTTACTTTTGAACTTTGGAGGAATTTTTTTTTCTAGTTATATCAAACGACCAATATTTTTAGCATTTACTAAGTTTAGATACAGGAACTAGGTACTCTGAAAGAGAAAATGAGAAAATTGACAAGATCTTTTCCCCAAGGACCTTCCTATCTAATGGGGCACAAGACAGACAGACAGACAGACACACACACACACAATAAAGCAAGGCAGAATTTAGAGAGTGCACAAGAGTGGGCTCTGGGAGTTCAGGGGAGGGAAGAAATTTCTGAGTTGGATATATTCCCTTTTCTCTCTTCCTTTCTCACTGTCCTTTGTCCCCTCTCTTTTCCCCTTTCCTCTCCCTCCTCCCACTTTCTCCTTTCCCTTTCTTTCCTGTTTTTAATTTTCTTTCTTTCTTTCTTTCTCCTTCCTTCCTTCCTTTCTTTCTTTCTTTTCTTTCTTCCTTCCTTCCTTTCTTCCTTCCTTCTTTCCTTCCTTCCTTCCTTCCTTCCTTCCTTCCTCTCTCTCTCTCTCTCTCTCTCTCTCTCTTTCTTTCTTTCTTTCTCTTTTCTTTCTGGCAGAGTCTCGTTCTGTCCCCCAGACTGGATCTTGGCTCACTGCAAACTTGGCCTTCTGAGTTCAAACAATTCTCGTGCCTCAGCCTCCTGAGTAGCTGGGATTACAGGCATGCACCACTATGCCTGGCTAATTTTTGTATTTTTCAGTAGAGACAGGATTTTGCCATGTTGGTGAGGCTGGTCTCGAACTCCTGACCTCAGGTACTCTGAAAGTGCCCCTCGGCCTCCCAAAGTGATGGGATTACAGGCGTGAGCCACACCATGTCCGGCCTCCTCTCCCTTTCTTAAAAATACATCAATTAATTAAATATATAAATGTAGATACAAACACGGAGAATCAAAGTGTACAGGTTAGAGAGGAGACAATTCCAAAAAGGGGCATGGCATAGGCAAATATGGCAAGGAAGAGTATAACACCTAAGTACTGGGGATGCTGGGAAGTCCTGCTAAGCTGGTCCCTCCCACTGTGGGACTTTTGAACTTCCCTGTGTCAGGGCACCTCCCCTCTGTGTTTGGGTTCTTTCTTTGATTGCAAGAAACCAAGACCAGCTCAGCTAAAAGAAATGGAAGGATGCTGACTCCTGAATCAGAGTGAAAGCTGGACAACTATCCCCAGAGCTGGGCAGAAATGGGTCAGTCTAGAGTCTGAGAGAAGAAAACCAATGGACAGCTGCTTCAGGGCCCAGCAGGCACGGTGAAGCAGCTGTAGATGATTTTAGTCCTAGGTCACTCTGCTCAAAATGTGACTTGCCAGGAGGAATCTGGCTGGCCCAGCTGGGGCATGTGTGTCTACCTCGAAACCAGGAGAGAGGGGAGTGTTGGTTGACAGTTCCCGTGTAGGACCTCTTTGTCTAGGTTACTGAGTTATCAACAGTTCTCAGTTCAAATAATCACTTCTTTGGGGGCAATATATCCTCTCCTACCCATAAACTAGGGGCAACATACCTTCTCTCCCCTTTCATACATGACCATAACACCAAGTACCACTCAACTCTTGTAATTTAACATTTACCCATGTGGCTCTTTGACGAACGTTCATCTCCATCCCTAGACCTACATTCCATATGAGGATGCCGCCATTCTAGGGTTTTTCCTCTTCTCCTTGTCCGTGGGGACCTAGGACTGTGCCTGGCACAGGGCAGACCCTCAATATTTGTTGAATAAATTAATTAATAAACAGATGTAAATGAATATTAGTAGAATACAACAAGAGTAATAGTAGGTGAAGGTGGTAAGCAAAGGTGGGAAGAGGTCGGGGCTCCGAGTGCCCGGCTATGGAGTTTGAGCTTCATTCTACAGCGCTGGTGAGACGCGATAGGTTTTTGAGAAAACCTCATGCTGGTGCCCCAGCAGGTACTGACTACGCATTTGTAGCCAAATCAAAGTATTTTCCATAAAGTCATCTATCTCTTCCCAGATGTTGGGACTTCCAGTGACAATGGGAAGTGAGACATTGAGTAATTGAGAGATCAAGCAATTTACTAGCAAGGGACACAAAGTGATTTTTTACAAAGGCAATGTTAATGTTTTTCTTTTTTATGTGTAGTTTTAAAATTCTGAAAATAACAAAATCACAATTACCAAACATTTAGATGACAAAAATTATCCATAATCCCACCATCTTAACACAACCACTATTATCATTTTACTATTTTCCTTATTCACATTTTCTACTTATTTTCTTAGATTCCAAGAAATAGAATTACTTGTTTAGAGGTTATTAACATCTTATTGTTCTGGATATATATATATATATATATATATATATATATATATATATATATACATACATTGCTGAATTTAATAACAGCAATGTCTGAAGTACCAGTTTCTCAAATACTAACAGGCAATTTTTTTTGAGACAGACTCGCTCTGTTGCCAAGGCTCAAGTGCAGTGGCGTGATCTTGGTTCACTGCAAGCTCCACCTCCCGGGTTCAAGCGATTCTCATGCCTCAGCCTCCAAAGTATCTGGGACTACTGGCATGTGCCACAACACTTGGCTAATTTTTGTATTTTTTAGTAGAGACGTGGTTTTGCCATGTTGACCAGGCTGGTCTCAAACTCCTGGCCTCAAGTGATCCTTCTGCCTTGGCTCCAAAGTGCTGGGATTACAGGCGTGAGCCACTGTACCCAGCTTGGCATTTCAATTTTTACAATCTTCAGTAATCAATGAAAATTTTTATCTTATTGTTATAATTTTTATGGTTTTTTATTCATGAGAATAAACATTTTCCAAGTTTGTTTACTGTGCATCTTATTCAGTGTCATGGATAAAATTTTGTCAATTTTCTGATTATATCAGTGCATTCAGGGTCCCAAGCCTGCCAAAGTTGAAAGAGAAAGATACTGGCAGCGGGAGGGGAGGTGGGCAAAAAAAAAAAAAAGAGAGAAAGATAAAGGGAAAAACCAGGAAAGATGGTAGAAAAGAATCACCCTGGCATTTTCAATCACATAAACATTTGTTAGGTTCCTAACTGCAGGTATACAGTTCACTAAAACATGAATTCCAATTTTATAGGGTGAAACATATCTTTAGAACCCTCTTCTGGAACTTTCATCTAGTTATCTAGCATCCTAAATGCCTGGTCCTTCCTGATTGGTTTGCAATGTGTTTCATTTCCCATCTCCAACTTTCACAGCTGCTGGCCCTGGGATCAAGAGTCACAGGCTAGGGCCAGGCCCAGTGGCTCAAGCCTGTAATCCCAGCACTTTGGGAGGCCGAGGTGGGTGGATCACGAGGTCGAGAGATTGAGACCATCCTGGTCAACATGGTGAAACCCCGTCTCTACTAAAAATACAAAAAATTAGCTGGGCATGGTGGCACGTGCCTATAATCCCAGCTACTCAGGAGGCTGAGGCAGGAGAATTGCTTGAACCCAGGAGGCGGCAGTTGCGGTGAGCCGAGATTGCGCCATTGCACTCCAGCCTGGGTAACAAGAGCAAAACTCCATCTCAAAAAAAAAAAAAAAAAAAAAGAGTCACAGGCTGTAACACTATGTCTTGTACATCCTGAGTATTTAATAAGCTTCTGTAGATGCGTTCTTACCAACATCATCATGAAAGGCAAACATACAAAATTTGTTGACTAATGCAATGAGTCATGAATAACAGAAGTTTATTGAGCAAACGCTACGTGCATCTAGAGTACAAAATAAACACTTTATTATCACATCAGAGGAAGAGGCCATCTTTTTTCTTTCTTTTTTTTTTTTTTAACTTCCCAAGATACGAAAGTAAAAAACAGGAAGAGGCCATCTTACAGGCTCAACAACCCAGGAAAACTGTGAAAATTTCTTCCAATTGTTAAGAATATCCATGCATATGGGTTTCACATTATTTTGCTATATACAGTATCAAATTTTCCAAAAGCCAAGAACATTAATTTTGTTACTCATCCTGGACTTTTACTCCAAGAAAAAATACAAAGTCTGTAAGTAATTTATTAGTATTTTGATCATTGCTGCATTTTTTTTTAAGGTAAGAAGATCTAGTGCATCCTATATCCAGGAAGTAAAATTATCTCTTCATCTGGGACCAGGAAATCCTGAAATAAAAAAGGATAATGCAATAAACATAGTTGCAGGAAAGTACGTTAGCTATATATTATGAAGTACTCTTAGTTTACTTATGTTGAACAGCTTAGCTATTAATACTCAAATTGAGTTAAAATTAAAATTCCTTCTTAAAAAAATCAAATATAATATGTGTTACGTTTTATAGTACTTTAGTAGTTCTTTGTATAATGAATAAATACTAAATCACCTAGGTGTCTATGTTGTATCACTTCTACAAACATGTCACTTTCTAATTAACAAATTGTTCTTCCTTTAGTTTGCTTTTGCACTTAAAATATATATAATTGGCTGGACATGGTGGCTCAAGCCTGTAATCCCAGCACTTTGGGAGGCTGAGGTGGGCGGATCACCTCAGGTCAGCAGTTTGAGAGCAGCCTGACCAACATGGAGAAACTCCGTCTCCACTAAAAATACCAAAAAATTAGCCAGGTGTGGTGGCGCATGCCTGTAATCCCAGCTACTTGGGAGGCTGAGGCAGGAGATTGCTTGAACCTGGGAAGCAGAGGTGGTTGTGGTGAGCCGAGATTGTACCATTGCACTCCAGCCTGGGCAACAAGAGCAAAACTCTATCTCAAAAGAAAAATTATATATATATATATATATATATATATAATTATAAATTGTATATATATATAACTATGTATATGTAGTTGACTTTTTTGATTCATTCCTTTATTTAGTAAAGACCAATAACTTCTGTATAGTCTTTTTAAAAATTGTGGTAAAATACACATGGTGTGAATCTACCATTTTAACCATCTCAAAGTGCACAATTTGTGGCATTGTAATGAGTCATGAATAACAGTTTATTGAGTAAATGCTACGTGCATGTATCGTACACGTGGCATTAAGTACAGTCACATCTCTCTCTTTTTTAGACAGGGTCTCACTCTGTCACCCAGGCTGGAGTGCAGTGGTGCAATCATAGTGTCCTTTTGTGACTGGTTTATTTCACTTAGAGTAATGTTTTCAAGGTTCATCTATGTTGTTGCATGTGTCAGAATCTCCTTCCTTTTTTAGGCTATTATTCCATTGCATATGTATACCCAGTTTTGCTTATTCATGCAGCCATTGATGGACACTGGGGTTGCTTCCACCTTTTGGCTATTGTGAATAATGCTTTTTTGAACATGGGTGTACTACATAGTTACTTTTTAAAACTGACACAGCAGCGCTGTCTTTTGACGAAGCCATACATATTTTATGGAAAACACAAGATTTTTCTGGCTGATACTCAACTTCATAATTTGGACATTGGTGCAACACAATAATAGAAGAGATATTTGTCAGTATATATCACTAAGGATTACAATGAAAGTTTATACAGTCAGTATTTCAAATTATAAAAGGAAATGTAGGCTGGGTGCAGTGGCTCACACCTGTAATCCCAGCATTTTGGGAGGCCAAGGCGGGCGGATTACCTGAGGTAAGGAGTTTGAAGCCAGCCTGGCCAACATGGTGAAACCCCATACTAAAATATAAAAATTAGCCGAGTGTGGTGGTGCATGCCTGTGATCCCAGCTAGTTGTCAGGCTGAGACAAGAGAATCGCTTGAATCCGGAAAGTGCAGGTTGCAGTTAGCCGAGATCAAGCCACTGTATTGCAGCCTGGGTGACAGAGTGAGATTCTGTGTGTGTGTCTGTGTGTGTGTGTGTGTGTGTGTGTGTGTGTGTGTGACAGAGTCTTGCTCTGTCACCCAGGCTGGAGTGCAGTTATGCATTCTCGGCTCATTGCAATCTCTGCCTCCTGGGTTCAAGCGATTCTCCTGCCTCAGCCTCCCAAGTAGCTGGGACTACAGGTGTCTGCCACCACGCCCAACTAATTTTTGTATTTTTAGTAGAGAAGGGGTTTCATCATGTCGGCCAGGCTGGTCTCGAACTCCGGACCTTGTGATCCACCTGCCTCGGCCTCCCAAAGTGCTGGGATTACAGATGTGAGCCACCAAGCCTGGCCAAGACTCTTTAAAAAAATAATAATAATAATAAACAAAAAAAAATAAAATAAAAAGAAACATAATGAAAGAGAGAGAATTCTGAACTTTTAAAGAACTTTTCACCCAGTCTTGACCTATCTGATAGAAACCTTGTCAGAGGAAGACAGGGTTACGCTCTTGCTCAGGCTGGAGTGCTGTGGGATGATCTGGGCTCACTGAAGCCTCGACCTCCTGGGCTCAGGTGGTCTTCCCAATTCAGCCTCCTGAGGTGCTGGGACTACAGGTACCACCAAGCTTGACTATTTTTGTATTATTATTATTTTTTGGTAGAGATGGTGTTTCTCCATGTTGCCCAGGCTGGTCTCAAACTCCTGGGCTCAAGCAATCTGCCCGCTTCAGTCTCCAAAAGTGCTGCGATTACTGGCATGAGCCACGGCTTCTGACAGGGAATTATTGATAGAATCCTGGATTCCTCAGTGTGCAGTAAATCTCAAAGAGTCTATTCAACTATAGATTTTATGTATTTGTTAGTGAAGGTGACAAAAAATAAGTGATTAAGAGAACCTATTTTCTATCCAATGAGCTATCAAAAGCTTACAGAGTGGAAAGGGAGTGGGGGAAGTCAGGCTCAAAGCAGCTAAGTGGAAAGAAGATTTTGCATGCAGGCTGACCTGGATTTTCGTCCTGGCTACTATATTTTCTAGACTTTGGGTGAGATCCTTAACCTCAGTGCCATCTATTAGGTAATTAAAGTGCACTAGTGCTCCACTGAACTGTGGTTTTGCTTTCCAAACTTTCGGTTACCCGAGGTCAAGCACAATTTAAAAATATTAAGTGGAAAATTCCAGAAATACATAAGTAATAAATTTTCAATTGCATGCCATTAATCCCCTTCCTCTCCAGAGGTGAGTGCTCCCTTTGTCCAGTGGCTCCACACTACATTCCCCAAGTTGGTCTCTTAGGAACCCTCTCTATGTTCAAGAAACCCTTACTTTTCTTAATTATGACCCCAAAGCATAAGAGTAGGGATGCTGGCATACTGTTATAATTGTTCTATTTTATTATTAGCTATTGTTGTTAATCTCTACCTGTGACTAATTTATGAATTCAACTTTATCATAGGTATGTATGTATATATAGGGAAAAAAACATGGTATGTATAAGGCTCAATACTATCTGTGATTTCAGGCCTGCCCTGGGGGTCTTGGAACATATCCCCTGTGGATAAAGGGGAACTACTGTAAAAGTTTGTGTTTTATAGGGTAGTTGTGAGAACTACAATTAATCCATAATGTGTGGTTTGTGATACTCATTGATAGATGGTAGTTACAACAGTAAAAAATTATATTATCAAGTAACTGATTCATAATTGACTCTCGAAAACATTAATCTCCTGCTTTCCTTTACCTAAGTTTACTGACACGTTTGAGTTTGTAAAGAGGAGGTTTTTCTAGACCAATAATTTTCCAATGATTTTTGCTCTCTCATACTCCCTCAAAGGAAACTGAAAAAGTTGCAACACACTTGCATGTGATTTTTTGATATAACTTGAAAGAATAGCAAATTGTTATTTTCCCATGCATTGTAAATACGAGCATGTCATCCCTCTTTAAAATGTACCTAATGGACTCTAAATATCATCGCAATTTGACCCAGCATCATCCACTTAAACAAATACACAAGTTTTTCCTTTTCTTTTCTTTTTTTTTTTTTTTTGAGACAAAGTCTTGCTCTGTCACCCAGGCTGGAGTGCAGTGGTATGATCTCGGCTCACTGCAACCTCCACCTTCCAGGTTCAAGCGATTCTCCTGCCTCAGCCTTCTGAGTAGCTGGGATTACAGGCTCCACCATGCCCGGCTAATTACAAGTTTTTCTTTAACAGTGAAAACCTTATCTCATTCCATTTTCTCCTTAAACTCATTTCAATCTACATTCCTCAGAGAATTTTACTCGAATGTAATATAATTTTGATCGTTTTGAAATTTTAGAAATTAAGAATTTCCTGTGACACCAAACTCTAGGTATCAAATATTTATTCTGGATTGGGTGATCATTGTAATTATCATTTGTACATAATTAAAATAACATAAATATACTACAAATTTGACTATTAAATATAGAAAAGTAAAATTTTAAACAAAAATATATCTCTTAATGAGAAGGAAGAGCTTTTTACACTCCGATAAGTTCATGTATCCACTAATAATAATAATAATTTCTTCCTAGAACAAGACAGGATTAAGCATCATGACCATACCTCTTGGGGGATGTTTTTATAGATGCAGGCCCTGTGACACCCACTAGCATAAATGCACCTGCCGATTGTTATGTTCTTTTCCCAGATCTTCCCCTGTTAGTTTCTTCCCAGTATTCAGGTCTCAGCTCAAATATGACCTCCTCAATGAGGCGTCCTGGTGATCAGATCTAAAGCATCCTCTACGCAATCACTCTTTAGTGCTACACTCATTAATTTACTATCATCACACTTGTCTCTATCCACAGATACCTTGTTTGGTTACTTTTGTATTGTTTGTCTCTGCCAGAATATCAGTTCTTTGAAGAAAAGGACCTTGTCTGTCTTGCTCTTTGTAGACATGAGGAAGGCACCATGATATAAATGTGTGTTAATAAATGAATAATATTTGTCTGAGAGAACCATTCATTCTAACAAACATTTATTGAGCAACCAGTTTGAAAAGAACCATTCTCTCTCTATTTTATTATTATTATATTTTGAGACGTAGTTTTGCTCTTGTTGCCCAGGCTGGAGTCCAATGGCATGACCTCAGCTCGCTGCAACCTCCACCTCCTGGGTTCAAGCAATTCTCCTGCCTCAGCCTCCCAAGTAGCTGGGATTACAGGCATGTGCCACCATGCCTGGCTAATTTTGTATTTTTAGTAGAGATAGGGTTTCACCATGTTGGTCAGGCTGGTCGGGAACTCCTGACCTCAGGTGATCCACCCACCTTGGCTTCCCAAAGTGCTGGGATTACAGGTGTGAGCCACCACACTGGCTGTTATTCTCTTTATTATCAAGTCAAGATATTCAAGGAAGGCAGAGGAAGAGAAAGCTTCGTGTGGGCAGAGAAGCCTAGTCTTGAGATGTGATTTAGCTGTTATTTGGTTGGAATAATCCAGGCTCAAAATAACACAAGAGGCCTGGCATGGTGGCTCGCACCTGTAATCCCAGCACTTTGGGAGGCTGAGGCAGGCTGTTACCACAGGTCAGGAGTTCCAGACCAGCCTGGTCAACATGGTAAAACTCTGTCTCTACTAAAAATACAAAAATAAGCAGGGCATGGTGGTGGGTGCCTGTAGTCCCAATTACTCAGGAGGCTGAGGCAGAAGAATTGC